GTTTGGATGGAGAATATGAGTTCTTTCTTGAGGAATTAGACTGTGCTCTGAACGAAGTGCCGATTACGGAGTCCTTCATATACATGGGCGATTTTAAAGGGCATATCGGAGCAGACGCTGAGGAGAAATGTGTGATTGAGGAAAAACGGCCGCTGCAACCTCATGTTGTAACGTTTATGCTGGTTGACTAGTATCATCATTGTTAAGCGCAAATTCTTTATCCGCTGTGAAAATATGTTTTAGCTCTACCTGGTGGTTTTCTACGGCTTTTACTTCGCTCTTTTCGAATATCTGTTTTTCTACTGTTTCCTCATACGCTCTCCTGTCGTTCAGAACAGCTGGTCAGAATCGAACAGTCTTTTGATCGCTTGTTTGACAATAAGGTTCTTCCTCAGAACCTGCTGCGTGCAAACTTTTGCCCGATTTTGCGATAGAGGATCGATGCATGAGGCATTTTCTGCTCACTCATATTCGAAAAAAATTTTCATGCCATTCTAAGATGTCGTTGCGTTGTAACGACACCATGACTGTTTCAAGTGTTTCTTTTCGATCCATGCTGTCATAAGCAAATATGGAATTAAAGTTGAATACAACGCCTTCTGACCGACACAATCCGTAAAATGGCCGTTGGCAGAATGCAATGGGCATTTGACTATGTATCTGTTTATCTTGCTGTTTCTTCCGTAACCAAACGTGATGTATTCAATGGCAGTATTGAATTTTGTCTTATTCGATGGATTGTGAAGAACCAGTTGAATTGATAACTAGCGATGAAATAACTAAAAAGAATTTTGCGATCAACTTGTAATGGTAACTGGTTCAAAGGAAACAGCAACCCTTCGACTGTGAAGATCACGATGTTGGAGTAAAATTGAGCAAAGATTACCTAATACCTCCTCTGTTGTGACAAGCAGGCAGTGTGTATATAGAATGGGACTGAATAAATTCAGAGGACAAAGGTCTGGCTGAATGTTTCTCCTGTCCAAGAAACCACAGATTATATTCGACTGGGATACTTCGATCGCCGGTGAAACGTCTGACTACATTCGCTATAGGGATAGCTAATGCTGTTTCAGATTATGAATTGTGATTGAGGTCTCTAGAAATGCAGGGCATTTTCAATTATATGCCTGAATATATTTTCATCCAGTAAATTCATAACCTGGGAAATATTCTGAGAAGGTGCATAATACTAGAACACAATACACTATTCTAATTTATCAACAGGCTAGAGTACTCAATGCTAATTTTAATACAAGTCCTGTACATGTGCCATTTTGCCACGGTACTTATGTCAACTATCGTCCAGTATTGTGTTATAACATTTGCTTTAACAATCATTATTCTTATTCCAGAATTCAAACAGGCAGGAATCCCGTTAAGTGATAGCGTTATAGCACACCGTACGTTCTTCATCTAAGAGTGTGTGGTTCACATAGATTCTCAGACAAGCAGCGCAATATCTACTGGGGTGAAATTTGCAGATTAGTCAAACTTTGAAATTTCTGGGCTTCACCTTGTTCTCACGTTATAAATCTGTTATGAAACGGGTCGAAGTGCAGCATACCATGACGACTATGTACACCACGAACGGTAGACACAGACCGACATCGTTAAAAGGGTGGGTCATCGATCAACATTAGTGCTTTCACTCGTTACAACCCAGCGTCCTCCTGAATAGCCATCTTTTAGTATTGCAATGGTGGCTGGAAAGCATGAACTTAATCGTACTCAGTATTTATAGGCGATCCTTAGCTTATGCTGTTAATATGGTGCAGGTGGGTGTCTAATTTATAGAGATTTGCGAC